ATATTCAGTCACAAATCATATTATATAATTATATTTTTTTCGATATTTTGTTAATGGCTGAGTTTATAAAATTTTAAATTTAAAGATGAGTAGAAAAATAATAGGTTTATTTTATGTAGGATAGTATTACTTAACCTAAAATTTGTTTGATTTTTTTCTTTCTATTGTGCTATATATATTAGTAAATTATTATTTAAGATTAATATGATAAAAGTAATTAACAATGGTTAGTTCAAGTGGTAACTAGCTTGATATCACTTAAGTAAGGTCTCGAGTTCAAGTCTTTGTATTTGTAAAAAATTCCTGCTGGGAGAATTACTTACCAAAGTCAGTTGTGCGACTCGAATCAGTCCAGATTAATCAAGGCGAAACTTCAAAACTGGGAGGACAATAAATTTTTTTGATAAAAGTAAAAATAACATTAATATATATATGCGTGTGCGTGCGTTAAAGAAATTGTAATAGAAAAGTATGAAGACAAACTTGAATTTCCTTTTCCAAAAACCATAGGTAAAAGGAGGCAAAGCCAATTTTGAGCATTCTTTTAATTGATCACCACCTAATGAATTAGCCCCCAAATTTGTGTAATGTATACCAAACTTTTGGTTCCTTTTTTTCTTTTTCTTTTTCCAACCGATAACATTCAAAACTACACAAATAGTCATCAACTTATTATTTATTTCGTATTTTTCATTATCAAACCATTTTTTAACAAAAGCGTCACCAACATTATTTTTTATATCTTAGTCATTAATAGTTAAATATTTAACGACGATATTAACATGATTTTCTCTAATTTTTCACATCATTTTCTCTCTTTTATTCATCATTGTCGTGCTATTTTGTGTTAGTTTTATTCGAACCAGTGAGATGGTGATACATATCAAAACCTAATTATTTTTAAGGGTAAAGTATAGTAATGGTCACTGAATATTTCTGAAGCTCGCATTTAGGTCCCTCAACTTTTAAAACTTGCAATACAGTCCCCCAACATTTAATCCACTTGCAATATGGTCCCCGCACCTATGAAAATTAGGGTAAATTATATAAATGGTCACTGAACTTTTCAGACACTTGAATTTAGGTCCCCTAACTTTTTAAAACTTACAAAACATTCCTCAATTTCATTCTAAACCCCAAATTCTAAAGTAATTCAATTTCATTCTAAACCCTAAATTCCAAAATAATTCAATTACATTCTAAAACCCAAATTCTAAAATATTTCAATTTAAGGAGGAATATACTAGATTATCTTTAAGAACGTGATAGCGTTTTGATTTTTTTACTTTTGTGAAGAAAAAAAATACACTCCCTCCTCGTAAATGTAAATTTAGTGACCTTCAATAATTTAAATATAAAAATTGATTATGGAAGAAATTGAATAAAAAACACAATCTCTCAATGAAAAAATTAAGAATCAAAATCCCCAATTGACATCCTTATAATTTTTATTTATTTCAATTATAATTTAGTTTTTTAATAGTTTGATGTGATTATAAGATAGTATTTATTCAAATTTTTTAATTTAGTAATAATATAGATATACCCTACAAACACAATTGTTTGAATTTAAAACTTTTAAAGAAAATAACATTTTTTTACCTATGAAACCACTTAACGAGTTAAAATATAATTTTGTTAAGTGTATTAGAAAATTAAAAAATAGATCGTGCTAGAACTAAAAGAATACGTGACAATGAAATAGAAAGTTTACGTACGTTATGAAAACATGGCACAAACCCCATCTCTTTTTGAGTTGTTTGTTATCATCAACTTAGGGTATATTATATTAAATTATTGATTTTTTTTATTTTATTTTTGAAGTAGTCAACTTCACTGTTTATTTTGTTATTGTGTTTTTTATGATTTTATTAAATAATTTTTCTACAAAAAATATTCGATGTAATAAGTAAATAAATATTTAATTATCATGGTAATATTTATATTTTAATTATAATAGAAATAATATAAAAATAAAATATATTTATACATCATTACTATAATTAACATAAGTCATATATAAAATTTTGACTATGCTATTTATGTAGTCTTAATATTTATATGAAAGATATAAAATATATTAACACATATGATTAGATATAAAAACATACACAAATAATTAGAAATATATTTATTTTTAAATAAATGAATTATTATCATATATTCTTACTATTGAAAAATTTTCATGTCTTTAAATTAATATTAAAAAATTATCATATGTTTTTAAATATAAAAAGTAAATTAATTAATAATTTAGTGACATTGGCGTCGTTTATAAAAAAAGACAGAAATTGAAGTATTTTAGAATTTGGGGTTTAGAATGTAATTGAATTATTTTGGAATTTAGGGTTTAGAATGAAATTGAATTACTTTAGAATTTGTGTTTTAGAATGAAATTGAGGATTGTTTTGTAAGTTTTAAAAGTTGGGGGATCTAAATTCAAGTACCTAAAAAGTTTAGTGACTATTTATATAATTTACCCTAATTTTCATAGGTGCGGGGACCATATTACAAACGGATTAAATGTTTGGGGACTGTATTAAAAGTTTTAAAAGTTAGGGGACCTAAATGCAAGCTTCAGAAATGTTCAATGACCATTACTATACTTTACCCTTATTTTAAATATTAATTTTATTTAGATTAATTAGATGAAGATATATGTTTCTACCTAATTATTTTAAATAAAATCAAAGAAAATAAATTGATACATTTAAGAGTGAAGAGAATCAAACTATGAACCCCTTAAATGGGAAAAGTGCCAAAATAATGATGTGGGATTTTTTTATTCCTAAACTAAAGCACTAATCTGATTAATTCCTGATATAAGGTGTTTTCTACAGGAATTTGGGATCTCTCGGCGTCTTTAGGGGGTGTTGGATTGTTTTTTTGATCTCTAGACATCTTTAATATAAATGCAGAAAAAATTGGCATTTTTACACAAATATCACCTTAACATAAATTAATTACTTGTTAGGTACTGTTTAAGAATATTTTATGAATCTAGCAAATTTTTAAATACTTTCTATAAAATTATTCACGTATTAAATTACACAATACAATTGTGTCTACCAATTACCACTTAACACTTTTTGATGCGTTTTTTACCCTTTCAAAATCATATACGTATAGTATATTCTAGGAAAACTTAGAGGGTAAGTAATTTAAATATTTTATTTTTTGCAGTTATAAAATGGAAAGCGATCTGCTACGTTATATTTAATATTTTGTTAGTATTTTATTTAATTATTGTATTATTTGATTTTTTAATTATTTGATTTAAATATTTTATTTTTTTTGCAGTTATAAAATAGAAAGCGGTCTGCTTTTGGATGTAAATCTGTATAAGTTAACGGAAACAATGATGTTGGATATTTGTACTGAAGCGACGACATTCTCCTAGTTGAGAGGATTGCTGTGAATGTTTACGGGTTGAGAGCATATTTATAGCCAAGAGAAAAGTTTAAAAGTCGAGAAATATGAATATAATTATTTAAGGCGCAACCCATGCACCGTAAACATCATTGTTTCCGTTAACTTATACAAATTTCCATCCAAACGAAGCATTTTATAACTGCAAAAAAAAATATTTAAATAAAATAATTAAAAAATAAAATAATACAATAATTTGCTAGATTCGTAAAATATACTTAAACAGTGCCTAACAAGTAATTAATTTATGTTAAGGTGATATTTGTGTAAAAATGCCAATTTTTTTCCTACATTTCTATTAAAGACGCCTAGAGATCCAAGAAACAATTCAACACCCTCTAAAGAAGTCGAGAGATCCCAAATTCATGTAGAAAACACCCTATATCAGGAATAAATCAGATGAGTGCTTTAGTTTAGGAATTAAAAAATCCCACATCATTATTTTGGCACTTTTGCCCCCCTTAAATGGGTTTCCTATACATAGCCACTAGGTCAAATTTAAAATTTATTATAATTAAGTGGCATGATTAATAAAATTGGGAAATTGATGGTAAAATTGAAAAGGGGCAATAGTTAAGTTGTCTTTAGTATAATTTACCTAATTTGGTTTTTAAATTAGGACTGAGTCAAACATTGTGAAGGACGAGATCGAATCGAATTTGAGTTTAGAGTAAATATTTTTTGACTCGACCTGATTCAGAATAATAATATAATTTTCTTCTATATATTTAGAGACAATTGTTATAATACTTATTTTTATATTTTGTTGAGCAAAAATATTTTTTTTATATATATTTATGTTGGATGAGATCAGGATGTGAGCTTTTGTTTCAAAATTTAGGTTGAGTGAGCTCTCCCTAAACTCGGGTTAGATAATTTTTTGTAGAGAGGGTATACTTTTCGGGTTAGGCCGAATTCTAGTGGAGGAGATATACGTTTTGGGTGGAGTCAAATTTTAGTAGAGAGTATATTTCTTGAATGTGGTCAAGTCGGTCGAAAACTTATCTTAACCTGACCTATTGTCATCCATGTTTACTTGAGGTAGCAATAAAATAAAATATTTAATTCTTTATTATTATTTGTGTATAAAGTAAACAAATAATCACTGTACTATGTTAAAATAATTTTTCAAGTCATTAAAGTTTTAAAAGTGTTAAAATAATTATTAAATTTATCAAATTATTGCAAAATAGTTATGACATATTATAGAATAGTGATAATTTTTAATAAATTTAAGGATCATTATGTAATAGCTTGATAATTTTAATGATCGTTTTATAATTTATAAAACTTTAATAGTTAAAAAGATTATTTTAGAATAGTTTAATAACTATTGGTATATTTTACCCTATTTTTTTTAATCCCTTTATGTAATTTTAGAATTTCAAAGAAATGAAGGAAGTCGTTTAAAATGAATTTGGGTCGCATGCGGCGCCGGGGCTCTGCTCACCTCTCTTATTTAATCTCCCATCGTTTTCCTCTTTACCATTATATCCAACCAAAACCTCTATCCATCTTATAAATACCTCTTCAAACCCAAACAAGCGCTAACACAATCAGTATTTGATAGAATTTCCAGAATTTCCAGAATTCAATCAAATAATCCACTCTTTATATATTTATATGGCTCTCAACAATGATCTTTCCGTCATCCTCCCTCGTGTTCTTATCGTCTCTAGACGTAGCGTTCGCAAGAACAAATTTGTAGATTTTGTTGGTAAGCTTTTTAGATCCCTGATTGGTTAATGGTAATCCTTTTTTTTTCTGATGGAATTTTGGGTGTTAAAAATTGCAGGTGAATATCATCTTGATCTTATAGTCACCTACGGTGCAGTTCCTGTGATTGTTCCACGAGTTAGTGGGGTTCATATGTTATTGGATAGTTTCGAGCCAATCCATGGTGTTCTTCTCTGTGAAGGAGAAGATATTGATCCGTCTTTATATGAAACCGAAATATCCGGCCTTTGGCCTGAAGAAGTTGAAGAAATCAGGAGACTGCATGCAAGTGATACGGCCGTCGATAAAGAGAAAGATTCGATCGAGTTAAGGCTAGCAAAGCTTTGCCTTGAAAGGAACATTCCTTATCTGGGAATTTGCAGGGGTTCACAGGTTTTAAACGTTGCTTGCGGTGGTACCCTTTATCAAGATATCGACAAAGAATTGACAAGGAAATTACCGGAAAATCAAAGGGTAGTCCACATGGATTATGATAATTACGATGGGCATAGACATTCGGTGAGAGTAGTGGAGAATACCCCTTTGCAGTGCTGGTTTAAGGATTCTTTGGAAGAAGGGAAAATGGATATTCTTGTCAATAGTTATCATCATCAAGGTGTAAAGCGATTGGCACAACGATTTGTGCCGATGGCTTTTGCACCGGATGGCTTGATCGAAGGATTCTATGATCCAGATGCCTATAATCCAGAAGAGGGTAAATTTATAATGGGACTTCAATTTCATCCTGAGAGAATGAGGCGACCTGAATCTGAAGAATTTGATTATCCAGGATTCCCATCTGCTTATCAGGTTTGCCTAGATCCATACCTTATTTGATTTGGGGTTTTTTTGAATTTGTTTTCTGATTCTGGATAATTTGTGCAGGAATTTGTGAAGGCTGTAATTGCATATCAGAAGAAACTCAATAGCTCGACATCTTTGCCAAAGCCATTGAAGCTTAACAAGGAAATGGAGAACAAGAGGAAAGTCATAGTCCGAAGCTTCTCACTTGCAAAGAATTTATACACTGCAGGAAACGAGATGCATCCTTCTAAAGAATCTGAACTTGAAGCTGGTGCAGAATTTTTGGAGGTATATATTCAAAGAGTTTGCTTTTTAGATTATTGAATTGGTTAATTTATTGAGTGAGATGGTTTGTTTTTGCAGTCAAACACAGCTCTTAGTGTGCAGCAAGAGATTAGGCTGAAGCAGATGGGAGCAACAGTGAGAAACGGGAGCCATTACATTGAGAAACTGAAGTTAAACGAAGAAAGGGAAAAATTGGCTAGAAATGTAATGGGGAAGATGTCGGTTGAACAATTATCTGATCTAATGTCATTCTACCACATGATGGGGCAGATCTGCTCTGAAGTTTTGGAAAGGAAACTAAATGGCATCATAAATGACAATGGCTGCTAGTTGTTGTGGTTCTTCTGGTGAGGGTAGCATCTGGCTTTATTGTCAATAAAAAATGTCGTTTCACAGGAAACCTGGATCTGTTATGTCTTCCTGGAGACTCGCACGAAAACTAGGTTTGATGGGGTCACTTTGTTTTGTCTTATTTGATTCATTTCATGTGAATTTGTCATTTACTCTATCAAGGTCCCCAGTAGGTTTGTTTCGTCTACATCCATTGTTTTAGTTGTGAAAGAACAGTCGATGCTTATATCTCCAACTAGCATCTTAGCAGCCTTGCCCTTGACCTACAATTTAACATCGTCTTCGTATTTATTAGTATTAAAAAAGGACCCTTGCTACGTTTTGATAAACCCTATTAAATTTTTCAAGTAATTTGTTAGTGTTTTAACTTATTAGTATTAATCTTCGCGTAATGAGATCTTTGAAGAGTTTTTTCTTTACAATAGAAGCTCCGAAGTATAATATGTTTTTAAATCTTCTTCACAAAATATCAAATAATTTTCTATCACTAAAATTACAACAAAATCTAACTTAACTATTAACTATGATCTGAATAAAAATATAACATTCGAGATTTCAAAATTGTGATTATTCTCTCCCTATTCACAAACATGATCAAGAATAAAGATCATGGATTCTGAATTTCGCATCATGGAGAAACTAATAAAACCATCCAAATTAGTCTATTTTGCTAGCTTCCCAATGTTTGTATAAAGGCTTGTAACATCCAACATTTCAACACCAACATCGTCTGCAATCCCCCTAAACTGTGTTCAGATATTAGAATCAAATTTTGATAAACATAAACGACCCGAATCATTATTCATAAATTTTAGTACTCAAAAATATCAAATTAAATATGATGATTTATACCTCAAATAATTTATTTAATAAATGTCATATGTCATAGTTCGATAATAAGAAACTGGAATACGAAAAACTTATTACGATTTAAATAAAGAAGTATTTAATTATTTAAAGTCCATTTTTATTAAATCAAAGCAGTAATTGGAGATTTGCATGTACAATGAGAGAATGTATAATTTATGATATATTGAAAGGTTAGAGAATTAAAAGTAGAAACCGGGATTTTTGGTTTTTTACATCACCTTCTCGCTATGTAAATATCTTATATAGTATGTGATTTATGATATGTCGAAAGGTTAGAGAATTAAAAGAAAGAATTTAAGTATCACTTTAGACAATACAGGTAACATTGTTTGAAAATGTATCACCATACATCATCACCAGTCACATACTCTATCCCACATATTTTTTTTAAAAATGTATATTTTTTTGAATACATAAATTTGCCGAAAAATATTTATTTATTAACAAATGATGTAGTATATAAAGTTTAGTAAGTTAAGTCTATATTTATATATATAATAGTACAAAAAAATCATATAATCATCGTGTATACAAAATATTAGATATATATGAAGTTATACGTACATACATAATTTTGTCGAATAGTTTGTGTGATTAAAAGATAATATATATTCAAAATCTTTCTTAATCATTGACAACCCAACCCTACAGACACAATTGTTAGAACCCATGACCTATAGGGAGAATAATATTCCCCTTAACTACTGAAGTCACTTGATAGGTTCTACGTACATATTTAGTAACAAAGTCCCATGTCACCCAAAATAATCAAGAGACGGATAAAAGTGTCGCAATGAAATATAAAAGCGAAAAATGGTTGACCCTTCATATGCCAAGTCCAAAAGTTTAGAGTCTAGCTATATTTGAAATAATAAAATTAAGGGGTGAACTAGAAAACTCAATGTACTCTTTAAAGTGTAGATAAATATGCAAAAATTAAAAATATCATGAAAATTATTTGAAAAACATGTTATAAAAATATGACTACTGTCCCATCCAATCACTAATAATGTGTAGGTTCCATATTAATTGTTCACCAAAGATCGAAATCTATACAAAACTTGTACACAGTTAACTCAGGTTAGGCTTTTACAAAATTTACATTATGATAAAGTAAAAGTACGTAACTCAGTTTGGTCTAATTTATCACATCAAACATCTAAATTCGCGTCATAGTCATATAATCACTTACCACAATTGGAGTGAAGCAAAAACATAATCATTCTTTACACATTATTATAATAGCTTGTCGAAATTTATTAAATCATCACAGATGTTATCTGACGTGCTCTAATTGAACCAAAGTACATAGTTCGCCACATTTACATATAATAACCTACACAATCAAATCGAAACATATATTTACAAACACATTGTAAACATTAATTTTTTCATATTATTATTTTTATTATTATTATTATTAAAATTATTATTATTATTAAATATGTATATATATATATATATATAAAATATATAAATATACAAGGCCCAAAATTGGGGCCTAATTACAATCAGACCCATAAGGCCCAAGACACGGTGGCCCAATCCAGTACAGGCCCGATCAGCTAGCCCAATAGAACCCTAAACCCAACTAGGGTTTCACACATCCCAGCCGCCGCCATCTCAAGAGTTTCCAGACACCTCTGATGCACCACGCGGCTGCCGTTTCCTCTGCCAGGTGGTCCAACCGACGCTACCGACGTTTTCAATGCCAGGTGCTTCAACCACCACGCCGCCGTCCTCAGCAGCTGCCACGACCCCTCCACGCGTCTTCATTCTTCGGTGAGTCACCACAAGTTCGGTGACTCACCGAAACCCATCTTCATGACCGGTCCGAGCAAGGCTCCATGGTGGCTATAAAAAGCCACTATACCTGCGAAGGAAAAGGAGCACCAGAAAATAAAAAAGAAAAACGGAGAGAAGAATGGAAGACAGAGAGCCACAATAACCACGAACAGAGGGCAAGCCCAAGCGTCGTCGGAAACTGTCGGTAACCGAAGGTAATATTCGGTTTATTCTAGGTCCGGAGCTAGTAAGGGATTTCTAGGGGTAAATAAGGGTAGGTCCGACGGTGGCGATCGGCGTCAGAACTTGAGCGCCGACTGGTGGCCGGCCAACCTCCGGTGGGAGGTTTCTAGAGAGAAGGCAGAGAAAAAATTCTTCTCTCAACTAGAGAGAGAAGAGGAAAGAACAAATGAGAAATTTGGCCTTTAAGGCCGGTTATAAGAGGCTATAAATACCCTCACCAAAACGACGTAGTTTTGGTGAGGGCCTTGATGTAATTTCAATCATGGACAAACCCTTCCCGCAGTCACTCCAATTATGTATTCTTTACAAATTAGTCACTACAATCAACTTATAATTATTTCAATTCAGTTTTGTATTTTTAATTATTTATAATTTAGTCATTACCAGTTTATATATTTATATTTAAGGATAAATACCCATACTAGTCCCTTATAATTTTATTAATTTATATTTATATACCGAATTAATTAATATAGGATAAATCACACTGTTAATACCTATAGTTTATAATACTTCGAATTAGGCATTTAATTTTAATATGTCATATTTTAATCATTACTTTCATTTATTTATAAGTTTTATTACCTTTTTATATTTTAATACTATAGTTTTAATTTTTATTTATTTCAGTCACTATTTATTTATATTTTAATTTAATTTATTATTTTATATGTTTATTTGCAGTATATTTAATTTATTATTTACCTAGAAGCCCTTTTCTGATATTTCTAAATAAATAAATATATTGTTTAATAAAATATATATATATTAATATATTAATAAACTTAACAGAATTATGAATTAAATATATTTGAATTTTTGATAGAGACAATTTATAATTAATAAGTACCAATTTTGGGCGTTATAGGGGTGCTAATCCTTCCCTAAACGTAACCGACCACGAATCCCTTTTTATTTCTAAAAAGAACGAATTTTTGGTTAAACGCATATCAGTTTATCTTTTAACTGATGTTTTCTTAAAAAACTCTTTTAAAAGGTAATTTTTAGGTATTCGACCTACCTGATCCAAAAGGCCGATGGCGACTCTCAAACCATTTTTTAATTATTTTTTATCCACATTATTTTTCCCGCCAAGTAAAAAACAATTCGTGCCCGGACGAAAACTGGTTACGACAGCTTGGCGACTCCACTGGGGACACAATCTGGTCAAGCTTCAAAATCAATTATAAATTGTCTCTATTAATTAGAAATTAAAAATTCATATATTTAATTTTTAATTCTTTCTTTTCGAAATTTATATATATATATTTATTATTTTCATAATATTTATATATATTATTTTATTAATGTTTCATTTTATTTTCAAGTAATTTATTTCATTATCTATGTTTCTGTCAGAGGTTTGAACATTTCTCCTCACACACAACACTTGCATTGCATAAACATAATCTCTATAACTGAGATTTGTCCCTTTTAAGAGTGAGTGAAAGCGACGTCTTCGTGAGAATTTATTCTCCGTGTTAGACCTAGCAAGTAGCTTTCGGGATTCATATGCTCTATGTCTTCGTGAGAATTTATTCTCCGTGTCAGGCATAGAGGAGTGTAACCCCTCGAATTGAACTCGATCCACTTTAGTCTGTGATGGACTAGGATAGAGGGTTAGCAGCCCAAGGGGGCACTAACAAGGACAATTCGGGTACCTTTACTCCTAGAACTGAAACCCTGCATATAATAAACCCTAGTACTTCACTTGATCTAAGAAGTACTGAAACTCTGTCCATAGGTGTACACAAAGGAGAAATAAGCTTTAGCTTTTAATTTATTATTTTTATCTCTGAATATATGCATGCGAACTAAAAATCATGCGGTTAGGTTAATTTTTCCAAACAAAGCATGGAACTAAAAAGCATGAGGTTAGGATACATTATATACCTTGATAGATAGAATCTTTCTTGGTACTAACCAATTTATTTTTTTCCCTTCCCATTTTTATTTTTCATACATTTTGTTTTACTCTAACTTGTTTATATTGATTTCTTTCGTCTGCATTGCATGATCATGGCATAACCAAAATGTGTTGACTTGAAAGACTGTTCATCAAATTGGAAAGAAATCATAAATGGACAAAAAGTTTTATGATCGAATGAAATATGACGTGGTCAAGGAATGGCATC